CCCAGTCACAACACTTTCCGACTGACTAGAGGTAATGGCTTGTCAATGAAACAACTTCCAGCTTTAAACTCACTGGAAAAGACAATTCTCGTGTTTTCAAATTCCAATGTCATCATTAAAATGTTTTTCCATGGCTAGAAAATTTCACAGAACAAATGGAAATGGTCAGCAGGACTCATCTCAATCTTTAGTCAGCAATTGCAAGCACGCACGTCGTAAAACAAACCTCACATTATTAATTGAAGCACCCTAACTTGAAACTGTTGGTTGAATTCTTTTCCTTGAGTAAATGAATTTATAAGTCTAGGCACGGAATACTTTCTTGCCTATGCACTTATCGTAATTATCGGTTTAGAATTCGGACTTGATGCGTAATTTGAAACGGCCTTACCCCGGGTGGCTTTTGAAATTTGTGGACTTGAATTGAAACGCTAGTATCATTAGAGTAATTATTCGTTTCCATATAGAAAGGGCACCCTGTAAGTGAAGTGAAACTGAATTAACCTTGGACACTTTCGTGACAGTTCCAGCTATAGGCCAACTATTCGACACACCTCCCTACACACCTCTATATCAAGTGATGTGAGCCAATCAAAATTTACATAGGAAGCTACTTGCAACCATGCACGTTCCTTGGACGCCCCCAGACTAAATGAAAATTATAATATTTAGACAAAAGTGTACCGCCATCCGATCGTCGGAGAAGGGGGCTTGATAAGCCATCGCTGAAGCAACATTTAAAGTATCCTAAGTAAATAAGCCTTGTATATATAACTTTTCAAATAACTGTTTAATTTTTGGCCAGGTGATCAAAAAATGTTCTGTCTCTTCGTATAAATTCTACATTCACCCTACCAAACTGGACTAATTTTACATTCTAATCTGACAATATAACTTTGTAATGGATAACCATGAGCAAATGATTTTAACAGAACTTTGAAATCGAGCGAGAAAAACTCCCATGCGCTGCCAATGTGATACTGTTTAGTAAATAGCCTGCTTGTGTTTGCGATTGAACAAGCGACAGAATGATTTAGACGAAGAAATTCATCTTTTCAGTGGAACTAAACAGACTCGTAACAAATGGATTCTCAGACATTTGCCGAACTTCGACGAACTGAACACCTTGATATACAGCAGGGCACAGCGCCTGCGATCGATAACGAGTCTCTAAACCTCTAATTCAGCTGATCTATTTCGGAATTCATTTTCGGAATTCATTCCTTAGATTATTAAACCTTGAATATGCACGAAACTGGATCCTTGGTTTAAATACCAGAAATCATGCACATATTAAACATATTAACAGTTCCTTAGTGGCCCTCTGAAACGGACACGGCACGCTTTTCGGCTAAAATGATTTTTCTTTTTTTAAAATATTAACACCATGGGAGAATGAAGAGTGAACTTTGATGATAGCTCCAGTCATTGGTCAATCAGGAGAGTCTGAGATGGGTTAACCGACCGTGTGCGACAAAGGGCAATATAATGGCAAACTAGCACTACTCCACACCAATGTAATCCAATACAAGTCAGTCAAAAATGTCGTTTCGGTGGGAAGTATCACATTGCGAGGTTTGTTTTGAAGCGTTAAGAAAAAAATTATAATCACCTGACTAAGGTATTTGACACCCTCAGGAGACAGCTATGGCGAGTCTCGACTTAAACCTATGGTTAGGGTTGGGGTTGCAGAAATCACTTCAGTTCCATAGACCTTTTGGCAGTATTTTGATGTTAGGGTTACAGGTTAGGGTTAGGGTTTGCAGTTGGGTTTAGGGTTAGGGTTAGCACAAGTCAAGTGAGAAGCATTCTCATTGCCCTCCAGCACCCTGGGGCAAGTGACCAGATGGCACTGGTCTTGCTGAGCCCAAAACATTTTTCACTAACCTGATAATTTAAAAACTGTTACCTGCACTTTGTGTTCTAATCCCAAATTCAGCCCCGCAAGGCTTTTGACCACTACCTTCCCCTTCTAAATCCGTATTCTTTTCTAAGATTCACACAAAACTTTCTAGTTTTACTGTTAGCATAACTAGTTAACAGCTTGCATAGTTAGAGACATGAAATAGCAATATAGTGACAAAACGAAGATTTCAAATCAAAAACAGCAATTGTGCGAATAAAATTCTCGTCAAATAAGATAAAAGAAAGCTAACTTCTGAGACCTAAGGGTGTTGCAAATTTTAACTCTAAGGAGTTAAAAACATACAAAACAAGCCTCCCTTGTAGCTCGTCGTGTGCGCTTAACAAGAATCATGGAAACAAACAACCTTAAAAAATTGAACAAAATAATCCTGTAAAATATTTGGCTTTACCTTGTAGGCCGTGTCACACATTTTAGACAAAGTAATTGGCCATGTTCAGCTCACAGTGTTACTCTAAAAGTCATAACGTGGCAGCATATAGGACATTTGTATTTCACAACGATCTTGCTTCGATCGGTTTCCAAAAGTGTGTCATAGGCATGAACGCCGCTGTTCTCATTTCCCTCTTCTCGAAAATTCATCTGTTCTGTGAGTACGAAAATTAATCGCCTCGAGCGGAAGGTTTGAGTTTTTCGTAATGTTTACGAAAGGGATGCAGTTTTTGGAGCAATGACCGAATCTGAGGTATATAGTAATCTAATCTTCGGCAGTCGCTCCGCTTCAGTTTTATACTTGATGTTCCAAGGTGACCTGGCCAATTAGAAGACTACTAGATGACAGTGGAAAGGGAAACCCTTTTTAAATTAAAGGGCAAAAAGCACCCTCTATCGCTGATATCACGCACGGCCGATACGAAACGATAAGCACGTGTTAATGCAGTCATGTGGTATACGTTTTGTGAGCTGTGAAGCAGTCTGATCAAACAACAAGCTAACCGGGCGGTGTGCACACTCCGATTGCACTGCATTGTGGTAGCGTTATTTTCAATATGGCGATAAAAGCGGCAGAAATGGGCAGATTTTGACTGAACATTCCGTTAAAGCTAGGCCGTTTCTTTTTCCTTTCACTATAGGTAAATATAATTTGATATATTCTGAATTTGTACAAGTATTTTTCGTACGTATTTGTCGTATTCTATCGTTCTCAAGGACAAACGCAAGCATTGTTTTTTAGCATGTAGACCGTTTTCGACAAGGTCAAATTCGTTGTACGTCGTAGTTTGAAGCCTTTCAAACATTTGTGTGGCCACTTTGATCCTTCTTCAATAGCTCGGACCAAAGGCGCTCAAACGCACTCGAGGGGTACAAATGTTTTATGCATTTTAAGTGACAGTGTTTGAGACCCTTTATGGGGCGAACACTGCCGAAGATGTCCAAAAACCGCCGAAGATGTCCACTGAGACTGCCAAAGATATCCACAGACTTATGACCGGCGATATTTGAAGACTACCGGAGATTTGTCTTGTATAACCCATAACAGTTCTCTTCTTAAACCGCTTTTACAGCGAGGATACACTAACCGTGACCACTCAGAGAGAATATATCAGTAACAAATCTGATTACGATATTCAAACAGCCAATGGGATAGAACATCGAAACAAACAGTTAAATTAAGCAAATTTGCGGATTGTCATCCGTTGTATGAATATGTCAATATGATTGGTTAGCTTTGTGAGATGGTCCCATTCGGGGTATCTGCACTGTAAACAAAAGGAGATAAGTTAACATAAAATGAATGTTTAAATTTGACTAGTAATGAATGTAATAACAGAATATTTCTTTTACCAATAAGATCGGCTTCAGTACTCACAATGTATAATGGTCAACAAAAATGACAGACATTTCACTCCATCCTGGCCAAAAACATTTAATCATATTCCATACTTGAATAGTCCTGATTGTCCTGATAGTCCCAGATGTTTCTAGAGATCAAGGCGGAAATGAGCGCGGATGGCGCGACCAAATATGCTAAACGTTGTGTCTGTATCATTTTCCGCATCGCTCTCCGAGTCGGTGTCGAATTCATCCTCTTGCTCGGGGAGGTCTGTCACGTCACCAACCGCGACAACTCCGAGCATGCTTTCGTCAACAAAGGTGATTCTTGGTACTCCGCCTATAGCTCGTGGAATATTTGTATCCTGGTCAACTCGTTCTTCATTGCCTGTCTCTGGATTGTCTTGAACATCCTCTCGGAATGTTACTCTAGTACACGATGGCGCACTGGAATATACAGCTGGCGGCAGGGCTCCCGCTTTGTCCTCTGTTGTTTCGCTTCTTACCGTCTTTTGTCTGACAGGTCGATACCTGTCAACTAATTCCTTCATGGCGGCCTCAATATTGAGATCAACGTTACCAGCTGGAGAAGGTTTCATCAAATCTACATCCCGTAACTCCACACTGGATTTAGGCACCGGATAATAAGACTTCTCATGCGTGAAGTACTTCGCACCCCACTTCTTTGTTCTCTTTAAAGATTGCTTTGAAATTGTTCCAAAGTCCTGAGTATACTGAAGAAAATTGAAAAGTCTCGTTTTTGAAGTGGGAGACTGCATCGAGGTTCTCCACCTGAGTTGTTAGTAGCGTACGCAGGTCAATGTCACCAAGATATTCCTCGTTTACATTCTTAACGTTATCTCGTGGCTGTTCCATACCTCGTTCGAGAAGCACCAATAGGGACTTTAAGATTGTAAACTACGGTTGGCTTCGACGATTGGGAATGTGTCACGCAACAAAAATATCAATGACATGCCACCGTCTTGCCTCTAAGAAGGTCTGTTTTCCCGCGATTTCTCGTTGTGGTGAAGACGGTAAGTCGGATCATTCTCACTAAAATCTCATTTTCCGCTGTTTGTAGTCAATTTTGTAGGCTGTTTTATTCGCACTTGCTTAGCCATAGATTTTCTTCCTGTTGGACTTACTTCCTTCAGGTGAATTGCTTTTTTTGTGTGGAAAAAACATTCTGGTACAGTGGTGTAGTGCCGTGTCTTGAAAGTTCTGTTTGGTTTTCTTTCAGCTTGTTGATTCGATTTTTTCGCTCTATACAGCCAATTTGCACGCAATTTTATGGTAAATGATAAATTTTCCTACTGTTGGGACTAATTTCGTTCACATGAAATTCTTTTTTTGTGTGGAAAAATCATTCTGGTACAGTGTTTTGAAAGTTCTGTTCGCTTTTCTTTCAGCTTGTTGATCCTTTCATAAATGGCAGTAAATTCTAACCAAAATGGCTCAAATTCCCAATACGGATAAAAGAAGATTCACTGATTCGTTTTCTTCGTATAGAAAGAAAAACTCTCCTTCACTAATTGCGCCCTCTGCGAAAGAAATTACGAGTGAGTCTCGCATCTTGGCTTCACCGTCCTCTGTCTTGTTGCCCGAGCTTAAGGTGAAATTTTTCGCGCCCTTTCACCGTCCTGGTCCCAGGCCCCCGGTGTACGCTTCCAACCGTCCCAACCGACCGTAGTCTCTATTGACTCCTGTGTTTTGCTGGAAATAGTTCCTTCAGGGCCATTTGTTGCTGCCATTTCTTCCATTTTATAGTGCTGCCTTACTTCAGCGACTGTGCTTTTAATATAAGCATTTACATTCGTAAACATTGATTCGTCCCAGTACTCCCCAGAATGAAGACAAGAGCATTTCAGCTTTGGCTCACTGTTTGCGAGGGATTTTCTAAATTTTCTTGCAGAATTTAAAAGAGTAGATGAAATTTTAAAATGCTAAAAGAACTTTGGGATCCCCTTTCAAACACTAAACAGTATTTTTTTCAAGAACAGTAAACATTAAAAAAATGGCTAATTTAACAGTAAACACTATAAAATATGGGCAAATAACACTTAACACTAAACCCCATTCAGACCCTCTTATAACTCGCTGAGAACGTTGATTGATTTTTGTGTTTAATCTAAGCAATTTGGCTTCAGATTGCCATTAATCGGTAAAGATGAGAATGAGACCATTGTTCGAATTATTTCCACTCACAATCTGAGGACTGTATAACGTTCTTTATTTCCTTCTGTTCGCTCACAATCTTAACGCACGTTCGCTTACAATCGTTGTTCGCTTCTTTTTCTCTTACACTGTCTTAAACTGTCTTAGCCGAGTTTCCGCGTCTGCACTGCTAGGCATAGGCAGACAATATGCGTTCAATCACTCAAAGTTGGCATGACTTTTCTTATGGATACCAGTCTGAATATCAAGAGTATTAGTTTTGTCGGATTTTCTATTCTGTTACAACCATTACTCAATTTTACATGTTTTATGTCTAAATTAGTTGCCTTGGAGGCATGCTATGATAGAAAACTGCTTTGGCTATTCAGAAAAACCCCTTCCAAAATATAGGTAACAATTTCGTTATCATTTGTTTTGGAAAAATATGAATTTAAAAACATAGTCATAGTAAGACCTGTTTCTAGCAAAATTTGGCCTATATTCTGCAGGAAGCCTGTACCTACTTTTCTTTCTTATGTTCCTAAGTTTTCTTCTTTACTCTTGAACATTCTTAGAAACGCTATGGACATTAAAACTTTCGCTTTGGTTTCTTCATTTGGTAGAAAACTCAATTTTCAAAAACAGTTCATCGTTTTTGACAAATTGAGGACCAAAGAATAGCTCGATCCTTGCGAAGCAAATAAAGCCATATCCCATAGGGCAAATGGCTTCCCGAGGCCTTTGAAATGCAGCTAAGGTTGGTGTAGCTTGCAAAGTGTGGCTGATGTCGTTGTGCCTGTGTCCACTTCTATCCAAAACTGACAAAGTGATTCTTCCAGAGTAAGGCCAGGATAAGAAGTCATCGTGTTCACCCTTCATGACGTGAACAAAGATGGCGACATACCTGCCTCTTCCGTCACCAACTCCATTGGGATACATCCTTACCCCAAACTTATATTCGAAGCTATCGGAGTCAATGGCGGAACTGAAAACAGCTGGTACAAATCCGTTGTCACCGGCCTAACAATATTAAAATCAAGTAGGAATGAGACGAAATAAACAAAACTGGCAAGAAATGTTACTTTAAAAAGTGTTGCATCCTCGTGCCCAAGATAAATTATAAAAACTGCAATGACATACTAGAAAGAAAAAGATAGCCAACCTGGCAAAGCTGTCCAACCTCCGTATACTTCACTATGAAATAAGTTTCCCGAGGATTTTGTTTGTTCCTTGCGGCTTTTTGTGAAGCAGACCTGTAAACAAACCCCGATAGACTGTAGGGTAAACGAAACAGATCCCATTTCCTTTTTATTCGTGACATAAAAACTAATGACTAAAATCATTTTAGGATAATGACTTTGATACCATAAATATAAATAATTAAGACAGCCTTTCCTTGTTTTAACGGCTGGCTTTGTCAACCGGACTATCCAGGGATATTCAATAAAACCAAAAACATCCCGGTGGGTTTTTTGCTCAAATGCAGATAGGTTTAACAGCCAGGGATAAGCTAATCATTTGCGTCAAAATAAGGTTTTAGCGCGAATGACAGAGGATTTTTGCCTTTTTCGTATTTATTATTGAAATGTCTGCTGATCCTTGCAATCGTATTTGCTCGTACCTATCCGATAATTCTTTCAATGAACCCATCGTTTTTCCGAAAATTTTCAATGAACCTCACAACAACAAAAACCATCCAATTTCAGGTTTTACTACACTGCAAGTTATTTACCAATAGCACCTTTCTTGTTTTTTTCTTTTTCAAGAAAATTTTGGCAGTTGAAAAAATAAAAACCCAGGTTACTTCTGCGATTTCAAAACGAAGGTATGTTAAGGGGAATTTAAATTTGTGTCGATTAATTTTACTCCAAGATCATAATTAAGGCATCAAACTGAAGCGCAAATCACGGATATGGTTCCAGTCTAGAAAGCACTCCCCTCAGCTTAACGGCCTTTGATGGTAGTGATCCAACTGATGTAATACTTGCCTATCAATTTGTCCTATCCATGTTCCTATTTCCTGACGTTCACAGGCATGCTCAATGGGCTGTTCGATCTGACCCAAAGAGCTCACTACATTAACGGAGCCATCATCGCGAGGCTGTTGAGAATATAGCAAGGCGGAAGGTTCACCTGGCTGTCTTGCAGCTGGCTGTTCCGTCTCCTGCAAGTAATGACTCGAGGCACAACCCTGATCGCGTGTTTGGCATGTACCTGACTCACGCGATCTGCACAGTTCCGTCTCCTGAATAGGTACACATAACCCATTGACCTGTGTACCACCTTCCTGCTGGAGAAATGGCTGATGTTCCGGTCTCTCCATCCTGTCATCCTGTTCAACTTGGTCCTCTTGAAGGAGAGCATTTCCATCTCCTCCATTACAGATAGAATGACCCGAGGAAGCATCATCATTATCCATTTGAAATGACTGTCGCGCATGTGCACTCGCCGTCGTACCTGCGATGGGATCTTCCTCCTGGACAGGGCAAGATCCATCACCAAACTGTCCATCAACTGCTATAGTGCCGGCCAGTTCATTTCCATGGATGGGGGTAGACATTTCCCAACTTTCTGAAGTATGTCGTCGACCATCTACTAACTGGTAAGCTCCAGGTTGTTCTAAATCATTCCTCCTACGACCGGCAGTCCGCTCGGGCTCCTCGTTGGTGGTAATTGAACCTTCTTCGAAAGCCACATTCTCCGTAGACGGCTCAGTTGGGTTGCTACGTCCACAAATCTGGCTCGTGGCATGGCCTTGACTGACATCTGAAAACTAGAGAGAGAAAAAAAAATTTTCTTTAGAATGTTTCCGAATCCACAATTAAAATAAATCCTCCTTCTTTCTAAACAGCTCTTACGGAAAAAGTGCATGGAGAATAAACACAAAGTTTGCTTTTGTTTTTTCTTGTTCGCTTTACTCGGGTTTCTTCAGCAAACTGAATAAGTACAAATCTTCACAGACAGTGTCACAGTGTCTTTTCAGACTACCACAAATAATGGAACTGGACATTTGTGTTGTCTGAACTTACTTCAGAATGTGACGTTTTGGCATCACTTGCAGAACTTCTTGAATCATTAGTTCTTTAAAGAAAGTAAATAGATGTTAAATGAATAATGTAATAAAGACCTTGTAACTCAGCATTACTGTATGTTATATCTCTATACTGACATTATTCTAAAATTTACAGAACTCGAGTCACTAATATGGCACAACCTTATTCCAAGGCTTTCACTTTATACACGTAAAAGAAGGGTAATAGGGATCCCTTGTGTTTGGCCTTTACTGGGTCTTAAGGATTTCTTTAAGATTGCTAAATTTTCCTATTAACGTATAAATGCGTACATGAGTAAGAGGTGGTGCTCGCTGACTGGCAGGAATGGTGTTGCTGTGGCCGCATGACTCTTTCAAAAATGTCCATTGTCACCTGGGTCTATTTCGGCCAAAGAGTTTCAAGTATCAACTCGGTAAATCATTAAACTTTCGAATGTACTCTTTTGAGCCTGCCCCCTGTCTTTTGCATAAACCAGTGTTACAAGGCTAAGTGATTTGTTCGTGCAAATAAGTGATACGTGTTAGATCGTCTCCTATTTTGTTAAAAGAAAAGTTACTTCCATTTTTATTACATTTTTATCTGTAATAAGTTCATTTTACAATTCCTATATTCCTTAGTGAAAGCCATGGTCCACCACGAATAACTATGATGGGCTATGGTCGGGTCCAAGCTGTTCTCGCATATAAACTTTTCAACGTTGTTAATCTCAATATTCATTTTAAAGGCTTAAAAGCTGCTTCAAAGTCGTCAGGAAATAGTGTACTGACTCAAAAGGGCAGAATAAAGAGTTTTCTTTACCTTGCATTGAGACTTCCCGTCTGATCTGAGTTTAGCTCTTCACTTTCTTGTGCGCTGCAAGAAATTGGGAAACTCATTATTGATTCGGTTTCGACAAATCTAAGATAATCCTGGGCTCTCCCTCTTGATCATACAAGAAGAGAGAAGATATTGATATAAGAAGAGAGTTTACGCTCTGTGCTAAACAATTATAACACGCACTCCGATTGGCTTGAATTTTGAATAATGAATAATGAATAACACGCGGCTGTCAAACGCGGCAGTTCTCGCACGTGCGAGAGGTTTCATTCACAAATAAATATGCAAATTAATTAAGCAACTTGTGGCCTGGACAAACGACCGGAGATTCCAAATGAGACGTAAAGTCATTCCTCAAGTTTTTTTATTCTCTATTTCAAAGATCGAAACGCTTCCGTGTGTGAATTGAAAATGATATTGACTTGATCATGAAGATTTGGGTAAATATGTTTCGATCGTTTCTTTTGGAAATCAAATTCTCAGTGGAGCAACAAAAATATGCATAAGTCAGCACATAGTTAGTAGAGGGGAACTGGTTATGAAACCCGGCAAACTTCAGAAGGTCGGTCTATTGTTTCGCTTTTGAGGTTGAACGGGTCCATCACGTGATCGTGACCCTGCACATCATAAAGCAATATGGCGGACGAGACAGACGGGCTGTTCATGTTTGGTGATGATTTAGAAGCTATTTTGGATGTTTTAGAAGAAGATGAGAGAATACAAGATGACTTCACGGAAGCAGTGAACCTAGTAAGTGTTGAAGATTTTATTTTTGACTCGAATTATCGACAAATACACTCGAAAGTGTTCAAAATGTTTCTTTAAACAGTCACGACTTTCTTGTATTTTGCATTTATACAGCCAGTAAAAATAGCATGAAATGTGTAGGCTTTTTGCAGAATTTTGATCTCAGTACATTTATCAATTATTTAAAAAGTAAATTGGATTCAAAAACAAAGAAAAATGACCATAAAGATCTCAAAACCATGAACGATGTTTCCCTATAATCCACCCTTTGCTACAACAATTTCTTGCCTAGACTTTGCTAACTCCGAACTTTCTACATTATTACATGGTATGTATTCAGTGTATTCATTATTATCCCCCTTTTTAGGCCCAGAATTATCATATCGTTTGTGAATGTGGGAAAAGCTACAAAACCAAAGCTGGATATGATAGACACAGGACCGCAAAACATGGGAACACCGAAAGTGAGTCCGCTACACTGTTCACAACCAGCCTTCTCGCCGAGATGGTGAACAGGGCTGTACAGAGTATTAAAGAAAGGAAGGTGTTCAATTTAAGCATTAAGAATGAGCTGACTGTATTGATATTTGAATTAGAGGAAAGATCTGATGAATTCTTTTATCTCAAAACAATCTATGAATCACTAAGAAAGAAAGGAGATGTTGAAAAGTTTTATTCTAATTTTTATGGAACTGTTGCATTGAATGCCACCAAGTACTTCAAAGGACTCACACGAAATGCAGCAACATTGTTGGCAACCAAGGTGGCAGACACTATGATAGCAAACTCAAAAAAACAGAAGTTATCTTCTGTAAGCAATGAGTCCATCCATGAATTGACAAACAAACAAAAGGCTGGGCTACAATATGTGAGCGGTTATGTATTGCAAAACTTGCACAAGAAATATTGTAAAGTTAACTCTATTGAAAGCCAACAAGCGATGACCATCCTTAAGGCTGGAAAACTGGATAGCATGAACTTGAACACACAGAAACAGGAACTGATTTCAAGCTTGAACAGAGGGGGGCTCTGGACAGTTACATTGCCAGCTTTTAAGATCTTTTTGAAGACTGATGAATATTTCAGGCAATCAACTTCAAAAGCTGGTTTACAGAGAATTGACATTGTTGGAATTACCAAAAACTCAACTACAGACAGTGATGTCTTGGCCAACTATCAACTAATTGTATCCAAAGCAGACTGTGATTCATACAGTCATGTCCAAAAAGATGTTTTGCACAACATTGTAAGCTTATATATCAGAGTAAGGTCATTCTCCTATGCTAAAGATATTGTTCAAAAATATAAAATCAAGGCAAAACAAAGGAAAAGCAAGTCTCTACGAAAGGAAATAAGTAGAAGTTGCAAAGAAAATGAAGAGGAAAGACAGGAGTAATAAGAAAAGACTGCATTATTTATACTACAGATTGTCCAATTTTTCCTAATTTTGCCCATAGTTATGTTTGCTAAACTTTATCCCAAAATGGCAACAATTTTGCTATTCTTTTGGGTCAATGTTAATTGGCCCTTGTCTCGTTTTAGGGTAAATATTCTTTTGAATTCTGCATAATTATGTGAACGTGGCCAAGCGGGCTAATTAATAGGCATATAAAAGAATAATAACAATTTTTGCCATTTTGGTGTATAGCAGTTGTGAAAACGA